GGATCCTGGGTCCTATGGAAGATCAGCCATTCTCTTACCCACTGAGCCACCTCTCCAGCCCCTCTTCCTCAATCTTTTTTTTTTTCTTTTTTTGTCGTTTTGAGAGAGAGTCTCTCTACAATAGCCCTGGTTATCCTGAAATTCACTATGTAGACAAGGCTGGCCTTGACCTCTTGCATATACTTCAAAAAAAGTATTTTATATGTATGTATGTGAGCCTGCATACATCCTTGTGAGCTGTGTACATATGCTCACAGTGGCCAGAAGAGGGTGTCGGATTACCTAGAACTAGAGTTACAGGCCATTGTTAGATACCATGTGGGTGCTGGGAAACAAAAGTAGGTCCTCTGCAAGAACAGCAAATGATCTTAATCACTGAGCCATCTCTCTAGGTCCTGTACCTTTAATATTTTATCTCCCTATTTTAAAAAGCTTATTCGTCAAGTCGAAGTTTCTTATGAATTATAATAGCTGAGAATGATAGATTCCCTGTAATGTCTTACTTACACGTTTTATTCTTTAGGATTTTCTGTATTGAAGAAGAAAACTAGTCACATCTTGTAGTTTACTAGGCATCTTCACATATATCATCTGAGCTCATCCTACCCCAGTTCAAGAGAAGAGTTTCATTTTAAGAATCGTAACAACTGGGGCTGGAGAGTTGCCTCAGGGTTTAAAAGCACTTGTTCTTGCTAAAGGACACAGGTTCTTTCCTCGCCCCCATAGGTGTGCTTACCACTTCCTTGGCCACCAGACACACATATGGTACACAGGCAAGCCCCCCCCCAATAATAAATAAATCTAAAAATAATTTTAAGAGATGAATAATTTTTTAATTATTTTTTTACACTTTATTCATTTCGTATCCCCCCATAAGCCCCTCCCTCCTCCCCTCCCGATTCCACCCTCCCTCCCCCTTCTTCACGCATGCCCCTCCCCAAGTCCACTGATAGGGGAGGTCCTCCTCTCCTTCCTTCTGATCTTGGTCTATCAGATCACATCAGGAGTGGCTACATTGTCATCTTCTGTGGCCTGGTTAAGGTTGCTCTCCCCTCAGGGGGAGGTGATCAAAGAGCAGGCCAATCAGATTATGTCAGAGGAAGTCCCTCTTACCATTACTATGTAGCCCACTTTGACACTAAACTGAATAGTTTTTAAGAAAGAATTGTAACAAGTGAACCACATTTTGAACACTTGTCTGTAGGACTCCAAAACCTGTGGTTTCTCAGCTGCCACATACTGACTCACAGAGATAATGGGGTCTCATACACTGAAGCTCATAATCACCTATCACCATGCTTCCCCTTAGGTCCTGCTCTTTGAACTTTAAAATACCTTTATTTTATTTATTTTTATTTCTGGTGGAAAAATAACAAGTGTGTATATTTATGCCTTGTACATGTAATATATTTATATATACATATATATACGTGTAATATATTTATGTTACATGTACAATGTAATGCTTTGATATGTCTACAATATGCAATAATTAAATCAGGCTAAAAATTCTGCTCCCTTTAACTTATATTAGTAAGATCTGTCCTTTGAAGCAAGGCCAGAATTTAAGCTATGAACACCAACATGGAGGGAATTGCTTTGATCCTGTTTTCAAGTTTATATGAAATCCACTTTTTATTTGTGTTTTTGCTAGTTCACGGTAACTAAGACCAACCATTACTTGATGGTTGCTCTGTACTTGGAAGCTTGTTGGGTGCTGTCATGACTTCCTCCTGTGCAGGAAGATAAAATTTGCTGTGAGTAAAGCAAGCCTGTTCCTTCTCTCGAGGCCGTGCAGCCACAGAGCAGCTAACAAAAGCAGGGTTGATATGGGGTGGTACAGATCAGCAGAAACCAGGCTCTTAGATGGAGTGTGAAGATAGAAGGGAATCTTTAAAGAATGTGGAATCTCTCAAGGGAGTGATCATCATCCTCTGAGTGGCTGAGGTGAGAAAGCTGAGAGTTAAGTACACTACAAGAAAATTAAGAAAACCCGAGTGAAAACATCATGCTGTGGTGACATCCTGTATAAAACAGGATGGCCTCTGAATAGTACTTCAGAATGCCAATGCTGTTGTGGAATGAACCTTACATATTGGACAGATATATCAAGTCATCATTTTAAAGATAGTGAAGGAATAACCTTTCAGGGTGTTTAAAGTCCAAATTGAAGAAAAATTAATCCACACTGTTTTACTTTGTTTGGGCCACTTTTTGTGATCAACTAAATATCTTTCTGGGAGGTTACTAAGCTCAGTATTCTGAGAGTCATGCTCTAATAATCCATTGTGGAGACCAGGAGTATGAGGAAAGAGAGGAGAGTACAGGAAAACAAAGCATGTTTGCTGAGTTCCCGGAAACCAGCCCCTTCCAATTCTGCCCTTGACTTCTGCTGCCAGAGAGTGCTAGATCATTCCCAGATGGAAATATGGGCATTTGCTGAGAGGGGCGGGCAATGAGGATGGAACCCAGGCCCTGGTACGTGCTAGGCAAGTGTTCTATCATGCAGTTATATCATCAGCCTTCAACACTATCATTTTCTATACTATCCAGAAAAAAAAGGCATGATCTGATTACCTGTGCAGTTTTGGTGGCATCTTGTAGGACTGAGTTTCTTAGGAAAATGCACATTCCAGAATGAGTTCAAGCAAACCCATGTAGCTCTGAGGAGCAAGGTGGGTTCACTCTTGAGAGCTTGGCAGTGCCTATCTTGGTACCTACCTCATTCACTCTTTCTTTCCTTACAGTGTCTCAATGTGGAGTTCTGCACTGTTTCATCAGCAAGAAGCTATAAGTGACATAGGCAACAAAGGGGAAGGAATACCAGAGAGTTAAAAAGGTGGTAGACTGGGGGTGTTAATAACAGAAATAATCACCAGAGATGGAATTTACTAAACAAATACTGTTTTGAGCACTATGAAGAAAGACAAACATTAGATTCTATAATATGGGTTCCCGTATTCAATGTAAACTTGCCATGTATAACCTGTGACACACATTAGGGAAGGCAGGGACTGTCTGATGAGAGTGATTGATGAAGTAAATGAGAGTTAAAGACCCACCTATCAGAGAGTGCTAACCCCTGACATTATGAATGAGACTGTGCTAAACTTGCAGACAGGAACTTGTCAGAGTTGTCCTGTGAGAGGCACTAACCAGCAGTGCCTCAAAACAGATGCTGAGAATCACTGCCAAACACTGGGCAGAGAATCTTGTGGAAAAGTGGGAGGAAAGGAAAAAGGACCCTGAAATGACAGTAGTTCCACAAGAAAAACAACAGAGCCAACTAACCAGGGCCCAGAGGGGTTTGCTGAGACTGAAGCATCAACCAAGTACGATGCATGAAATGGACCTAGACCCTCTATAAAGATTTAGCAGATGGACAGCTTAAGGTTCAAGTACTCTAGTAAGAAAACTGGGGACTGCATGGGATATGGACTCATGTTGGTATAATGTTCTTGTGGAACGTATATAAATTTACCCTTGCTTGTTTAAATGCTGATTTCTCTCCCCCCACTGTCTGGCTTCAATACGGACATTGCATTGTGATGTTTATTCTAAGCATCACCTGTCTCAAATTGGTGTAAACATGCCACCATTTGCTCTCTGTATTTGTCAATAAAACAGCCAGTCACAGTGCTGAGCAATGGAGAGAATAGGGTGGGACAGCCTGGTCTGGAGGGGAAGAAAAGGAAGCAAGTGGGTGAGTGGGAAAGCAGAGGTTAGCAGGACAAGACTTAAAATGATGAGGAGAGGACTTGGAACCATGAAGAGAGGTGAAACCAACCTAAGTTATGACTAAAAGCAAGTATAATGTGGAAAATCTGAATGGTAGGAAACTATGCGGGCTTGGAAGTTTAGGATGGAGTAACTATTTGCCCAGCATTGTGCTTTGGGTTAATTAAATAAATCCTAGTCTCTGTGTGGTGATTTGGGTATACAGTTGGATGAGGAATAACCACTGTTTAACTAAAATATAAATCAATGATAAATATTAACAGCCCTCAACAGACTCACTTGCTAACTTTTAGATCACTTCCCCTTGGCAGGATTGCCTTGACAGGTCACAGGGGAAGAGGACATATACAGACCTAATGCCACTTGATGAGCTAGGGTAGATAAAAAAGGGAGTGTCCCTTTTCTGAGGAAAAGGGGAAGGGAGAGGGAGAGAGGAGAGGACCTACACAAATGCAAAGTGAATAAAATATATATATGAGAAAAATTAAAAAAAAAAAAAGGTTAAAAGAACCTGAGCCCTCTAGTGCTGCGCTGTGTTTATGGGGTCACTAGCTATTTATGGCTTACGAGCATTTGAGGTATACGGTTAGTTTGAACTGAGATGTGCTGTAAGAGTAAAATACAAATCTGATTTCAAATATTTGGCATGAAAAAAGCATAGGAATTTTCATATTGAGTAAATGTTGAATATATAATATTCTAAACAAGCTGGGTTAAATACAGCATCACTGGCAATGCCTAATAATTGTCTGAACACACCGGGTTAAATACAGCATCACTGTCAATGTCTAAGGTGATGGAAATGTTACTCTGATTTGATCAGTATATGGTAAACTCTTGGAAGTATTATACTGTACCCCATAAACAGGTACAATTAATATAAGAATTTAAAAATTGAATGCTTGAAACTTAAGAGAACTTACTTTTCCCTCTTAACATTATTACCAGGGCATTGAAATTGTATGCACTTTGCATTATATTTCTGTTGGACAGCATTGCCCTGGCATAACAAAAAATAGGATCTGATATGCAAGCACCTTTTCAGCAGTACAACCCCAGAGCAAGTATACCTATGTTGGAAACAGGTCTATTTCCAAAAGACAGGAAAGTCTAGAGAATTGCAAGTGCAGAAAGTGTTTATAGATGAAAGTTGGGATCCAGCCTCATTTGCCTCATTCTGAGGGTATAAGATGTGGAAGATTGGGTAGTCAATTTGCTGAGGCAGGTTCTTTCATGGGGGGGGGGGTGTCATATGTTATCTCCTAGGATCCAGAGTGGTAATGGGAAAGGCACTTTGAATCTTTCCTTACCATCTCAGCCATTGAGCTCTCCGGGTGACTGATAGTGACAATGTGATAGGTGCTTTCTCTGGGGCCCTCCTGACCTCCAGGCGTCTCCTGACCACCATTCCTGGCTGAGAGAAGGAGGGGGGGATTAAAGTGAAGTCCTTCTTGATTCCCAGGGCCATGTGGTAGACCTGCTGCCGAACCTCCCTCTGCCAATAGGCATAGATGAGTGAGTTGAACAGGGAGTTGCCAACTCGGAGGAGCCACAGGTACTTTTCTAGCACTTGGTAGAGACAGCACTTTTGGCAGGCCACATGCACAATGCTAATGATGGGAAAGGGGGACCAGGGCAGAGTGAAGCTCCCACTGAAAACAGACACAGTATGGACAGCTTTGAAGTCATTGACAGGCCATGGTGGTGGTGGTGGGGTGGCAGCAAGCTCCTGCCATGGCTCCTGCATTTTCCATCTTTTGGATCTGTGCAGAGAAGCATTCTTGAACATGTCACAGTAGAAGACAAAGAGGAGCACAGCTGGGAAGAGGCCAGCACAGGATAGGGTTAGCACAAACCTTGGGTAGCAAAGAAGCTGTAGGGCCCATGGTAGGTGGTCTGCTGGAATATGGAGCCTCTGAGTGGGAGGAAGCTGATAAGGTACCATAACAACCACAGTCCTGCAATGCGTGCCCCGGTCACAAGACCATGTATGTTCTGGAAGTAACCATGGGGGCTGTTTAATGGCAAGGTATCTGTCAAAGGCAATCAGCATGACCGTGAGGACAGAGGCAGCTGCAGAAGAAGTGACAAATGCCCTCCGAAGGCTACACAGGGTCTTCTGTGTGTGCTGAGCAGAGCTGGGGAGCTGGTCCTGTAACTAGAACAGAGATAGCCCCATCAACCAAGGTATCAGCCATGGCCAGATTCAAGGTGAAGCAAAGACCAACACCATCGTTCTTGTAGATTGATAGCAGCATAGCCACAGCCACAGTGCATTAACAGCAATGATGAGGACAGTTAGGACAGCGAGGATCATTCCAAATGAGAAAGATGACTCCATGGCTCCAGGTAGCAGGACTTCCACTTACGAGGACATACTGGATCATGAACTCAGATCCTCATGGGACAGGATTAAATGTGCGTAGGTTCAGAGCCACAGCACAGCTCTGGCCATTACTGGAAGGCAAGCCTGGCAGCTTGCCATCTTTGGGTTCCTGGTGTCATTAAGGATTACTCATCCTCTCCTTTTTCAATCTTCAGCCTCCTGCTTTTCCAGCTTTCTGAAGGCAGAAATCTTAGAGCAAATTTGTGGGAGGGCCTAGACTAGTCCTTCCCTTCTACCATCCAAGTTACTAGACAACTCACAAGTACCCAGCACACACTGTCCATTGAGACCCCCCCCTCCCTTCACTGACACTTCAAGCGCTTCATCAGGCTTCCTGTCTGACAGAAGATCTAATTGACTCTAATTATACTTTTCTCTATCAATAGCTTCATATTAAACCTCCATTTCTTCCTAAGTGCCAAGTGCTGGATTAGTAACTAATTCCAGCTTAATTAAACATTTGCTTGATAAATAATTCTCAGTTAATATTATGATTGCTTTTAATCAAGAAAAATGATTATAATCAGTTGAAGTGAGAAGTGAGGTAGATAAGCTATTTGTGGGACTTAGCATCCCTTCAGGGGTGTTACCACACATGTAAGCTATTTTTTTCCACAGCACTTCAAAGGCCAATTCTCTCATATAAGATGTATACCTTCACTATTTCTTCTCTTTTGGATGTCAATTGATTCAGAAGGACAGACAGTAAAAAGGAGGCAATGAATTCTTTACAGCTACCATTTGGTTTAGAAGGGAGCCAGTTTCCTATCTCTAACTGTCGTTTCATGGGTATAGTGGTTGGTAACTGTTTCCACACTGGTGGCTAGCTCTCTGGTCAATAAGCAATGGCTGGCAGGCTTGTTACTTTCATCCTGCAGACCCAAGATTGTCTCTGAGGAGAGGCAGAGAGCTCAGCATTGGGCAGTGGAATTTTCCAGGGAGAGAGCTCGTGGGATTTAGGTCAAATGGTGAGAGAGTTGCCAAAGCAGATGAGATGAGTACAGTGAGGCCAGCTGCGGAAGGCACTCCACTTTAGCTTGTATATCCATCTACTCTGGTGCATCCTAACTAACCGTTTGCCTTTGTGCTGTTCTCATCTTGCATACAAAGAAGAGAGGAGTGGGAAGAAGAGTGGTTAGAGGCTGTTTACTTAATCCAGGTGAAAGCACAAAGGGAAAAGGTTAGCGTTCTAAGTGACAGGGTGCAGGGCAAGACGCAGAGTGTGAGTAAACAGCAGGATGTTTTGACAGTTGGAAAGGGCTTTGGGCAGATGTCTCTCCTGCCAAGGCTCAGAAAAACCTGGTTCACGGGGGCTTGATATTTTAATTATTGTTACCTTCACTTAAGAGGCTGATTTGCATCTGGCCTCATCCTGTACTTGGACTTAATTTATGTTTTTGCTTCCACAGCTTTTGACCTTCTAGGTAAAGTCAGCTTGGACCGTTGTGAGCTTGTGCTCAAACTTGTGAGTGCGTAAGAAATGACCTGGAAGGCTGGCGACAACTCAGATTCTTGATTCAGTAGTTCTGGATGGGCCTTCAAATCTATATATATTTTTGAGACAGGGTTTCGTTTTTCCCAGATTGGTCCTCAAACTCAGTATGTAGCTGTGGATAACCTTGAACTTTTAATCCTCCTGCTTCTACCTCTAGAATGTTAGGATTATAACATTATGTGCCACTAAATTCAATCTGTGTGGTGCTGAGAACCAAACATAGGCCTCATATATATATTCCAGACAAGCTGTCTACCAACAGGTACACCCCCAGTCACTGAATATGCATCTCTAAGTTCATAGCCACTACTGTTGCTGGCTAAAGAACTACTACTAGAATAATATTTTTCCTGAGACAGGGTCCAGTTCTGTTGCCTAGGCTGGCCTGGAACTTGGGGCAATCCTCCTGTCTCAGTCTTTCAAGTGCTGGAATACAGTCATGGGCTACAAGACTTAGAATAGTGATTCTTTCTTTCTTTCTTTCTTTCTTTCTTTCTTTCTTTCTTTCTTTCTTTCTTTCTTTCTTTCTTTCTTTCTTTTTTTTTTTTTTTAGAAGTGTCTCACTATGTAGCCCTGGCTCGCCTTAACTTATTATGTAGACAATGCTGGCCTTCCACTCACAGAGATCCATTTGACTCTGCCTCCCAACTGCTGGCAATAAAAGCAAGCACTACCATGCCCAGCAGAATAATGATTTTTAACCTTAGCTGTGCTTTGGAAGTAGCTATAGGCTCCAAAACATACTATTGTTTAGGTAACACACAAAAGGTAGTCTGGGACATGCATCTGGAGTCTTAAAAGGCAATCCGGGTACTTAGGATTGAGAACCACTGTTTAAAAGCAAAAACACAGGCTCAAGGGTTAGAACACTAGGAGTCCATATTCCTGATTTTGGTTGGACAGGTAGCTTCATCTTTCTTATTTACCTTTGGTTATTTTTCCCCTGCTTATTCCAGGGAAGATAGTCCCTATATCATAGGGTTGTGAGAATGACAAAATGAAGGCCACATAAATTGTAAGAAGTTGCATGGGTGTTACTGTCCTTTGGTCTCTGTTAGTCGTATCCACACAATTTTAACCAAAATGTGTATTTGAGTAACCAAAATGTTAGCAATTAGGGCAAGGAAGACAAATATCATGTGTTTTCTTTTATGCAGAATTTACCTTTAACGTGTGTGTGTGTGTGTGTGTGTGTGTGTGTGTGTGTGTAACATGAGAGCTTGCATTCAGAAGGCTGACTATTTGAGAGAAGGAAGGTGACCAGAGGGAGAGAATAGCTAACAGAGGGGCATGTTGCTGAATATGAGTGAAATGCAATGACATACATGTCTGAAAATGTTAAAATGCAACCTATTTATTTTGTCTACCAAAAATGACTTATAGAAAAAAAAAACAGTGAAAAATACTAGTGCACATCAGTAATTGCCACACTTTCTTTTTTGTTGTTGTTTTTATTTAAATTTATTTTTTTTTAGTTTATTCACTTTACATCCCCGTGGTAGCTTCCTCCCTTGTTTGTCTCCCCCACCCTATCCCCCTCCCTTTTCCTCCCATCCCTCTCCCTTTTCCTCCCATCCCCCTCCCCCTTTCCTCAGAAAGTGGGAGCCCTCCTTCCCTACCCACTGATCCTAGCTTATCAAGTCTTAGGACTGCCTGCATCCACTTCTTCCGTGGCCTGGCAATGCTCCCCCACCTCCAACAGGGGGGCGTGATCAACGAGTGGGCAACAGAGTACATGTCAGAGACAGCCCCTGCTCCTTTTACTCGGGTATCAACATGGAGATGCTCACATGCTATATCTGTGCAGGGGTTCTAGGTTATCTCCATGCATGGTCCTTGGTTGGAGTATCAGTCTTCACAGGCACCCTGGGCCCAGCTTGTTGCAACACTTTCAATTTAAGTGTGTAACTTGAAGCATTTGTGTGACTTGAGAGATGGGTAGAAATGTGCAATCTCAGGCCTTGCACAGGATCTGAAGCTGAGTCTGCATTTTAACAGGATCTTCAGGTGATCTATATGCATACTAAACCATTTCTTGTTTTCCTTTAGTCTCAGGTGAATGGTCATATTGGTTTATTTCTGCTACTGTAAAACATTACCACACACTTAATGACTTTTTATAAACAAAATTGGGGCTGGAGGGAGATAACTCTGCATTTTATGAGTGATTGTTGCTGTTTTAGAGGACTGGAGTTAGGTTCCTAGCACCAATGTTGGGCAGTTCACAATCACCTGTAACTCCAGCTCCAGGAGATCCAACACTGTCTACTGGCCATCACAGACACCTATACACCCTCCCCCCCACACGTTCATACACATTAATGAAGATAAAATTAATATTTAATAAAACAAATCCAATTATTATCTTTTCATGGGCTGATAGCCCAGTAGGTAGAGTGCTAGCCTAGTATGTGTTAAGTCCTGGGTTAGGCCTCCAGTACTCCATAAAAGTGGGTGTGGTGGTGCTTGCCTCTAAGACTAGCACTTCAGAGGTGGAGACAGGAGAATCAGAAGTTCAAGGTCATCCTTGGTTATGTAGTGAGTTCAAAGCCAGCCTGGGCTACTTGAGATCCTGCCTTCAAAATAACAGCAGCAAAGCAACTCACACATTTATTATTTTCTCAAGGCCAGATGTATGGCTTGGTTCTTATAGGACCAAAATCAAAGTGTCAGGATGTTCCTTCAGTAGGTGTTTACTGCTCTGTAAACCTGGAAGAGTGGGGCCTAAAAATGAACTGGACTAAAATCTCGTGCAATAACCAACTTTATTTAAAGCATCAGACAGTTTATACTCTGAGGGTTAAGAAGAATCACGTGAGTAAAGTGGAGAATCACAAGGATAAACCACACGTGGCAGAAACATATTTTTCAATAAAGGCATATGCACAACAACAGCTGAAGTAAAACCACTCCTATCTGATACACCTAAGAGAAGCACAAAAAACACATTCCAAGAACAATTCTGTGTTTTGAAGAAACTGAGATCACAACAGGTTTTTTTTTTTTTCTTTCTTTCTTGGTGCTTTTTTTCACAAGCACCCAGAATTCTCAAATGATGCCATTCTTGAACTATATTCTGACAAGTAAGGTCTAGGGGGGATCTGTTTCCTTGCCTGTTTAGCTTCTAGAAGCTCTTCTTTTTTCCTTTGCTCTAGGACACATCACTCAGACTTCTGTTTCCATAGCCATATCTTCTCTGACTTGGACCTTCTGTATCTTCCTTAGAAGGATCATTTCTATATTGGGACTCTAGACCAGTGGTTCTCAACCTGTGGGTCATGACCACTTGGTGGTCAAATGACCCTTTCACGGTTATCACCTACCAGATATTCTGCATATCAGATATTTGCATTAAAATTCATAACAATAGCAAAATCACAGTTATGAAGTGGCAATGAAAATAATTTTATGGTTCGTGGTCACCCCAACATGAAGGACTGTATTAAATGGTAGGAGTGTT